GTGTTACTGAAGTCACAACTGTGTTTCCTGTCCCTCAGATTCTTATCTCCCTGCCTTGTTAGCAGGACTGGTGATGCAGTCCTAGTACTGTATTTTTCCTACTTATTTCTGGGACTTCTGTCCATTGAGACCCTATCTTATTTATTGATGGAATTAACTGCCTTTCAACTAACCTTTCAATGTAGGAGAGCAGGATTGGACATGAAAATGAGAAATATCCGTGTGGTTTTGCCTTTGTCCTCCATGCAAATTGGGCAGGTCCCACCTTAGACAGATGACTAAAGCCATCATATACACTGTTGTAGGTATACAGTTTATGTCTAACCACAGAAGAAACTGCACTTCTTTAAACTACCATGGAAAACAGCCTGTATTTTTAGCAACAGACACCCAGTTACGAGAGCACTCTGTTGAGAAAATGCTTCTCTGTGAACTACAGTGGGACTGCCTAAGAAATTCTTCTGCAGTTATAACAGCAGTGTCACTATTCTATAAAGCATTCACCAATCAGAATAAACATTAAAGCACAACACAGCTTAGCAAAAACACTAGAGCTGTGCCACAGAAATACAGAGCCATTTACTCAAAGGGAGCATCCTTCTGAAGTGGTGACTTACCTTACCCCAAGCATCAAAGTAGGGCTGCTGGAACATGGGAAGCAGCAGAGTCTGTGATTCAGACCCTTGAAAACTGCAAAATTGATGACTGGAGCTGAAAATTTTATTCTTGTATGGACCTAGTTACTCTCAGAGCTGAGATCTCTGAGGTGTCTGAGGCAGCAGTGGTTTGCTCCTGTTATCCAGTGATAACAACTGAAAGGCATCCAGGGTCCCAGTTTCCCTACAGAACAGACATCTCTGAGAATCCACAAGTTCATATCCACAGATCTCAGAGATGACGGTGCAAATGAACGAACATGTTCTGAAATGCTGCTATTGCTCTTTTTTGTTTTTTCCCCCCATAAATGCCAGGTTTTTCCCTTTTAATGATGTTTTTTCTTAGAGTTTTGAAGGTTTTATTACTGATCCACTGAGACCACTCCTGCATTTTTTTTTAAATGAATATAATGCATCTTTGTTGCAGCTGCTCTTCTTCAAGGCTGCTTCAAAGCCTGATTGTGTCCTGACTAAAACCCAATGTGACAGGCCCTGTGACATCCTTGTGCATGCCTGGCTGTACAGTTGAGGTCTTTATTTACATCTTCTGGCTTCATCTGAAAGGCTAAACTAATGAACAGTTGCTTGCAATTAAGGAGAAGGACGAGAGTTAAGGGCTAATCCTAAATAAATCTTCTGTCCTCAGTTGTGCCAATGGCTGGAAGAATGGGGCAGGGAACATTTTGTTTCTGGTTTATATATACTTTCTCTTGAATTGTGCAAAAAAGCGATCAAGGATCTGCCCTGACTACAACTCGAACCACCAAACAGCCAACAGAACACAGAAGCAATGTCTCATCTGCTGTAGAGAACAAGAGATGTAGTTTAGCAGAAGAAACAACCAATATATGGATTTTAAAAAAGTCAGTGTTTATCTTGTATAAAATTTCAAAGCATCCAAGCCATCCTGTTTCAGGACATGTGCTCATCCACCCCTTACAGCAAGGGAACATATAGACTGCGTCAGAAAATCATGGTTGCTTTCAGATCTCCTTGTGCAGCAGTTCTTCCGATGGGAAAGCAATGTGGACCTCTACCACATCACCCCATTTTAATTGGGAATGACAGCGCAGGGACAGTTTTATCCTACCTTGTCTAAGAGCAAGAGTTTCCCCTGCTCTCTCCCGACACGGCCTCTGCAGTGGGTTATGCACTATAATACCAACACTAACATTACCAGCTCCTGATGTCTGGAATGGCTGATTGTTTTGCATCAGTCATCTGGGTGAGGGAGCAGTCTGTAGATACCACGGCAATAAACCAAGATACTTGAGAAAAGTAATAAAAATTTCCTAGGCAGCACAGTCTGCAATGACTTAACCCGTGCTCTTGCTTCATCAGCTCTCCCCCAGACCGGGCGCCCAGGCACCCTCGCTCTGCTCCAGCGGTTTTCCAGCTCTTTATTCCGTGGTTTAACCTGTGACTTCTATGTCCACGGTCAGGTGGGTTTACAAGGTCGCTTCCCCTCTTTTTCAAGACGAGCAGCTGCTTATACAAGTCGTATCACTAAGCGTTTTTTTTTACACGCGCTGTGGCGAGCCTGGTCAGGAAATCGCTAGTTCCCTAAAACAGCTGCGGAGGGGCCTGAAAGCCCTCACGCACCTAAGCTAGTGGGGGTATCCGGCACAATAAAAACAGCTAAAAAGCGGTGATTTCGTGCGTTTGTGTCTGTGTGCGGGAGGGGGACCCGCTTCGTTCCTCCACAGGGGGCGCCTGAGGGCAGCGAGGGCACGACGAGGGGGGCGGCGGGGCGCGGGTCCCTCGGCCGTGCGCGTGTGGGAAAACAAACAAACAAACAACACCCAGAGAAACAAACAAACAAACCAACCAACCAACCCGCGACTTACTCAGGGATAAGAAAGGCACGCGAAAAGCGTTCCTTTGGCACTACCCCCGGCACGGAGGGGGCTGCGGTGGATGGGGGGGGGCGGGTTCAGCCCCCCCCTTTCCCCCTCAGCGCGGGCGGCTCGGCTCCCATTGGCCGCGCGCCGCCACGTGCCGCGCCGCCCCCCCCATCCCCGCCCCCGCCAGCGCTCCGGCCCCGCTACCTGCGGCGGGGCCGCCCCGCGCCCATGAGGAGACACCGGCACGGGCACGGAGCAGGTACCGGGGGCTGCCAGGCTGGGGGCACCGGGCCACGGGGAGAGAAGCGACGGGAAAGGACTGTAGGGGGAGGCCCGGCTCGGAGCGGGGCCTGCGGGTGCGGGGCTGGAGTCCGCAGTATGTGCCCACCCCAGCGCCAGAGCTGCCTCCAGGGGAGAGGCACCGGCGCGGCCGCGCTGGGGGAGGTTGGGGCTGAGAGCGCTGGGGGCGGATGGGCCGTGGGAGCCGCGTTTGCCTTCGGGGAGGGAGAGGATGTAGCCGCGGCTGTCTTCGGTTGTGCCTCTGGAATGGGATTTACAGGCTCTCTCCGCCTGTCTGCGGGATGCGATAGGCTTTTTGTGGGTGATTTTGTCTCTTCGTGCTCGGAGTGATGTGAATGCGAAACAGATACGGCTTCTGCTGTTGCTGCCAAAACCTTTTTATTTTCTTAATCGCTGCTCACGAAAAAGACTTTTGTTTGGCTTCCTTCCTTCTTTTTTTTTTTAAATTAATTTTTATGCGTGTGTGCTGAGCTTTGCTTATTTATTTATTTATTTTTATTTATTTTTTATTTCATTCGGTAAGATCAAAATATGAGGCCGATGGAGGCGGGATGTTTATTTTGCAGCTCTCTTTAGTTATGGAAATGAATAGGAAACGAATCATAAAATTACTGGATGTAAACAGCTCTCCCTGTGGATAATGGCTGGCTTTGTCTCCTTCTGGGGAAAAAGGGTAGATTAAGGTGCATGTTTCTTGTTTTTGTACGGAAAACTTGTAGAGAATGTTCTTTACGTCTCTGAAGCGGATAGATGTTTTTAAAGGCAGCTTACGATGGTGCTGTCCAGACGCAGTTCAGAAGGGGTGTTTTTCCTGCAGACTGTTATTCCATCTGCTGCAGCGAGGTTACTATCTCCCTTCTAGATCGCACAGCAGGAAATCTTGAGCTGTCTCCCGAGCCCTCTGCTAGCCAGGCTGAGGGAATGGTCTTTTAAAGGTCAAAATGCAGCTGGAGAGTTAGTGCATGAAAGCATTTTGGTGCATTCTTCTGCTTCCTCTGGGCTGATGAGAAATGAGCTCATCCCACCTCGGGTTTCCTGGAACTTCGTCGCGTTCGGCACCCTCCTTTCCGTGGAGTTTCATTAAATTGGCCGAGTGATTGGCAGACAGGCAGGCAGGGCCAGGATGTAGGAAGACAAAGTGTGGTAGCAGAAACTTCCTTTTACCGAGGAGAACAGGCTAAAAATGTTCAATTTTGTTTGCTTTGTGTACATGAGTTTAGGTGATGGATGTCAGATGTGCCAAGGCTGCTGTGGAGTTGGAGTACTTGGAGGGCAGGTTGTTTTGTTTAGATAAGAGAGCCTGGGAAACTTAAGTAGCTCTTGAGTTTTGGTGAAGGCTGATGTACTGAATAAGCCCCAGACGGTGCTTCAAACTTGTCATGGCATAATTTTCAGACCACAGGTGAGTCTGAATGAAACCTGCTGAAATACAACAGATAAAAGCATCTTCAACAGGTGCATCCAGAGCTTCAAGACCACACAACTCTACTTAGGACATGAGTCTTCCCTGTTACGGGCAGGTCTCTTTCATAAGGTTATTGGTAATTTAATATGGACTTCCTTAAAACTTGTGTAGTCTGTTATTTTCCATTACTCCTATGGGAAGGCTATTCCTTTGCTACTCGGGAATCTTGAGCTCCTAGTCCCTCTTTATTTATATCTGCTTTTTCCTGTGTGCTAACGTGGTGCTTTTGTTTGAATTGTTTGCTTTTAGCTTTGTTTACATGTTTGGTGTATCTAAGGAAAAAACTCTCAACCTGTTTTTGCAAAGCTGGACAAGCCAAGCTCTGTGTTCTCCCTGGGAGAAGCTTTTCCTTCACCCATCCCATCAGCACTCTGTGCTACCTGTTAGGTCCTGAAATCTTGGATTCAGAAGTTAAGCATTAGAATTGGTTCCAGCAATGTTCTTTGCTGTATTATAATTTCCTTTCTAGCCCTTTCTTCACAGGAGGCTTTTGACATCTCCTCTCTTGCTTCTGTAGGCTCAAGTGTGATTTTACCATGATCTCTTGGAGTGTTGGTAGATGATACCCTGGTGAAAATGCTGCTGTACTGTTAACATTGTTCCATAATTACCAGTTGTTCAGTGTTATTCTGCTGCATAATTCAAATGTAATACGAAACATCTTGGCTGTGTTGAAATAGTCATGTTTCCTTAGCCCAGTAAAGATTAATGCCATGCCCTGTCTTTTCCAACCATTTCTTTTAGGAAAGATTTACTTCTCAAACTTCCCGTGTAAGGGGAAAGACCTAATTTGTTTTGGCTTCCTTGCAGGGCTCAGAAATATCTTCTGCTTGTGCACCTTGAGCTTGCCCAGCTGGTGGTGGGTGATGTGCTGATACTCTGGGCCCTTTTCCTCCCCTCCTGGCTGGTGTGGCTCTTCCCCAAAGCGCTGGAGTGCTGCAGTGCTTCCTCAGGTGTGGGGCTGTGGGGAGGAGGATGTGAAAGGAGCACAACAGCAATGCTTTAACTCCCCTGTTTCTTCCTGCTTGGCTGGGACACTTGACTTCCTGTGGCTTACTGGGGAATCGGAAAAATTCCAAGTCCAGGTACTGGTTTCATCTGCCACAAAGCATCAGCAGCCCTCTGAGGTGTTGAAGCACATCTTGTTGATATTTCTGGTGTTTATTTATTATGTGTTTTTGCTGTTCCTCACTTCAGGGCACTTGAAAGAGGTTTCACAGAAAAGTCTGGAAAGCTTGATAGAGAAGAGGGTGCCAAGCTAGAAGTGAAATTAAGAGAGTATCCCTGTTTTGAGCATTGAACTGGCGTTTAGAACCTCATTAAGGGTTCTTTCCTTATAACATTATTTTAGCAGGCACTATTAATGTCCAAAAAGCTTCCTGTGAATGCTGCTGAAAGGAAGTGATGGTGTTTCACTCTATCTCTAATTAAGCTGATAATTGGTCTGGATTTGAGCTGAAACCATTTTTTTGTATGTATTCTATCTGGATGACCCAAGGCCAAGAGCAAGTTGTAGCCTAGTTATGTGTTTCCTTCCTGAAGGAAAAGACTGGGCAAATAGACACAATTACATAAGGTTGTTAATTATTTCATGAGTTGGTGGCTGATATTGGGAAGAGGGTGTAGGAATGAGCCATTAAATAATTAGAACAAAACACAAGTAGGGTGTCTTAAGGCAAGGGAAAAAAAATTATGATGCCTCCTGGGGCATTGTTGTTGCTTGCTGGTATTCATGACTGCAGGCAAAATAATTTTCACCTGTCATCCTGTCGATGCCTTTGAGAGTGTCTGTCAACTACTCTGACATTATCATTTGCTCCTCATTCACTTTTTGCCAGTTGTGTCTACACACATAAAGTGCAGCAATAAATTCATATTTTCTGAGGAGCAAGATCTTGACCAAATGAACTGCAGATTGTACAGATGACAGAGGTTTTTACTTTTTATTGTCTGATGAAAGGGCCTTTCCATTCAAAGTTCATTTTCTAAGACACACTGATTACATTAGTGCATAATGTCCTGCTGTAGGTGCTTATAACCATATTATAGGCTAAACAGTTCTTGGCCATCAAGGATGTGTTCATCAATTAACCAAAACAACTGACTGTTCATTAGAGCAGGTATCTTGTCAAATGCTTTTTTCATTCAATAGTAGTAGGCACTGAGCAAATAATATTCAAGAAAAGTTTATAAACTATCTAAATACATTAAAATAACAACTGTAGGGTTTATATAGTTGCAGATGAATAAATAATTGACAGAAGTGTCTAATTTTTAACTTTAGCTCCACTTTTTTTCTTTGGCGAGAAGTTGTCAGTCCCTAATCTGCAACAGCTCCCTGGCTTCTGTCTCTTTTATGTCTTGGAAGTGGTAGGATGGTGATCAGAAGATTATTTGAAGATAAATATCCAACAATGAATACATTGCTATAGCTTATAACACAAGAGTCTCTCATGCTTTAGCATGTTCCTGATAAGTCTCCCTCAAATCATTAATATCACTGGAATTTTTCCTCATGCTTGTGGTTTTGAAGGTTTTTTTTTGTCATGTACCATTGAACAAAAGTCCTGTAAGAAGATATTTCAGTGTTCCTTTTGTTATAGAAAGCGATTTCTCAATCGGAAACAGTTCCTTTGGGATAACTTGTCTGTTCCTCTTCTCTCCCTACTTTTCCTGAGTATTTTGTTGCTATGGGCAAATGGGTCCATCCAGATAAAAGGCTTTTTACTTTCCTTGTATAGATTTTTTTGAATCCAATTTCAACATCTGGACAGGTTGTTAGCTTTCCTGATCTGTTAAAGCTGTGTTTAAATTTTGGCTTTAAAATTTGGATTAATTTCTGCACGAGTCATTGGAAAGTTAACCTTGTGAAGTTCACTCAAGGTCCTGGACCTGGTCAGGGTAAAAAAGCAGAAATACAGGCTGAGCAGATTGAGAGCAGCCCTGAGGAAAAGGATTTGGGAGGTGCTGGTGGATGAGAAGCTTGACATGAGCTGGCCTTGTGCTCTGACAGCCCAGAAACCAACCCTGTTCTGGGCTGTGTCAAAGGCAGCGTGGCCAGCAGGTCGAGGGAGGGGATTTTGTCCCTCTGCTCCACTCTGGTGAGACCCCACCTGGAGTGCTGCATCCACCTCTGGGGTCCCCAGCACAGGAAGGATGAGGATCTGCTGGAGTGATGAGCCCAGACGAGGTCACAGAGATGTTCAGAGAGCTGGAGAACCTCAGAGAGGCTGAGAGAGCTGGGATTCTTCAGCCTGGAGAAGGGAAGGCTCTGGGGAGAACTTAAACACCTTCCAGTACCAAAAGGGGCTACAAGAAGAGCTGGAGAGGGACTTTTCACAAGGTTCTGTTGCGACAGGACAAGCGGGAATGGCTTTGAACTGACAGAGGGCAGGTTTAGATTAGATCTTAGGAAGAAATTCTTTTCTATGAGGGTAGTAAAGCACTGGCACAGGTTGCCCAAATAAGCTGTGGATGCCTCATTCCTGGAAGCGTTCAAGGTCAGGTTGGGTGGGGCTCTGAGTAACCTGTTCAAGTGGAAGGCGTCACTGCCCGTGGCAGGGGGTTGGGACTGGATGATCTTTAAGCTCCCTTCCAACCCAAAACATTCTGTGATTCTCTGAAAGTGAGGCAGTCTTTCACTGTGTTGCAGTTTCTGAAATGCCTCTTGCTAGAGGATGATCGTATGGTTTTTTTCAGATTGATTGGGGTTTTTAATAACAAATTCACTAATGTTTCCAGTTTTTCTTTGTGTTTAAGAAATACTCTGTGTTTTGGATGGATAAAAATAACTGCAGTTGTAAGGCAACAGTTTGACTGTACAACACTTGTGACTGCAGAGTCCTTTGGGTATAAATGGGGTGCACAACTAACTCTCCTAAGCTTCAGCTCTTTTATTCTTTATATTACCATTTCTCCCCCCCCCCAATATTATTAGGATGAAGCTTGATCTGCTGTTGATTTTAAAAATTAAAATTGTTTATCATGTTTTATGTAAACAGAGGTTATTGCAAAATTTATTTCATTGTGGCTTATTGTTTCCAGTGAAAGGATGATGAAGTTTGAAAGCATGGGAAGGGTTTGAAGGTATCATGCTTTGATAAGGAGATTTGGGAGGGAGAGTCATGGAGGAGGAACACCCTGAGGGACTTGTGAGCCACCTTTGCCAGAGCCAGTAGACAGAAAGCAGGACACATCTGACTCCAGCTCCTGCACTGCTTGTCACTTCACCAAAGGAGCAGTGACAGGCTCCATGTAGCTCTGGCAAAAATAAGGGAAATTGAGGCAAGGAGGGGAGAAGGAGGAGTGTTTGGCTTAAGGTTAGCTTGTGAAAGGAAACCCTCGTGTTAGGTTGTTTTCTTTTGCTCAATATTGGAGTTGATGATCAGGAGTTGTATTCATTGACAAAAAAATTACATTACTTTGAAATTCCCAGAATCAAACAGGTTTGCCCATTAAAGAGAGTTGAACAGATTTTGGGATGGATGTGGGAACGGGGAGAGTTTTATACTGATTTCTGAATTGGTTTTGAAATTACTGTCTTAAGAACAGAGAATGAAGAAGTTAAAGTTTTTGCATTCTTAGGTATCTTCATCCAAGATGCTCTGCTGTTCCTCTGGTTTTGAAGCATAAACCACCAAAGCTACAACCTAATTAGCCACTACTATTTTTTTTTATATCTCAGCCCTTATATTTTGATCTCTGTGAGTTTCAGTACTGCAGAAGCAAACAAAATTAATCCTAACTGTAAATTTTACCAAACTATTTGCCATGTTTTTACACAACTAAATAACTTTCTATTTAAAATATTGTATCGATTTTGAAAGGCTTAATGAAAATTAATATCTCACCTGTTTGGTCAATAATGAGAAGGGACTGAGATGTGTTATTTTTCGTGGGCCCAACTCTTGCAGGTAATCACAGGCACTGTATTGTAGTTGTCAGTTAGGTTTTTGTCATCTGTTTTCTCCAAATGTGTCCTGGGAAACAATCTCAAATTAGGTTTAAGTCTTCTTTCTTATTTTTTTTTTTTTATCCTAACTTCTTCCTTACATAAAGTTTTGCCCTATAACTGGGATGGTTTTTTGGTTGTTGTTACTTTTAAAAGCCACAGAACAAGAAGTTCGTGCAGAGTTCATTGCTGAATAATGTCCCATCTTTGATGAAGAGTACCTTGCTCAGGTTAATTCTGTGTGAAAACACCTTCTCTGCATTTCAGCTTTGCCTTTCTTTTTTGAAACAAACGTTGCTCAAAACCAGGTAGCTTTTCATCTTATCATTTACTGGTTTTTGGAGGTATATTTCTTAGGTAGCTTCTGCGTATCTGATTTAGAGGAGAAGGCATGAAATGAGCAGGTGGATTTCAGGTATTTTTGCGTTAGTTTTGCCTTCTGTTTCAATGCCTGCTCGAGCCCCATGGTTTGTGAGTAGTAATTCCTTTATACGAGCGTGACTTCCAGGTTTCATTTGCTGTGGGCTTTTCACTGCAGCCTCTTGATCTCCTTACCTGAACCTCACAGGCTGCCTTGCACAGCAAGACCTTGGTATCGACTGACTTGCAAAGCTGGGTGTTTCTGCTGCCTGTGGGGGTAATGTGGAAAGGGGGAGTTAATTTGTGTTTTCAACTCTTAGGAGCTTCAGGTGTCACCTAAGATCGTGTTGTGCTGGACGCTGTACAACTCTAGAACAGATGGTGTCTCTTGCCCACAAAGCCCAAAGTTGCCCCACATAAAAAGCCATCCCAAAAGGCTTAAAATAATTGCTTCTGAAATACTCCAAGTGTGGAAATTTTGTCTACTTAAGACTAACAATGAGACAGAAGTAAATGATAGTGAAAAGAATAACACCATGAAAAACTTTGGAGTATATCCTACTGATGGACAATTTATCCTTCGAAGCAGCTTTGCACAGAGAATTTAGGTTCAGCAGATGAAAAGCAAATTTAAATCCCCTGAGTCCTCACTAATTACACCACAATGAGTAGCTATGGAAACGGCAGTGCAAAATGTGATTGGAACACAGCACTACTGAGCCGTCTTTTTGTATGCAGATTGAGACATTTGCATTTATGGCTCTCAAAACAATTGTAGCAGGGCCCCTTTCTGGAGGAGTGTAGTGGTGTTTGTATGCAACAGATCTTTGGTGCTCTTGGTATCTTAACTGCCCTGGTTCTCTCTGCAAGCTCACAGATTTATTTATTTATTTATTTAAACTCAGGAAGACTGTGAGAAAGGTGCACTCTAAGGTGCTTGTTATTGCTGCCTTGCTCTTATGAGCACTCTTACACCATTCCAGCCGGTTGACTTTAGTAAGAATGCAGGATCCGACCCTGAGTAATTTAAAAAAAAAAAAAGGTGCGTTGGATAAATGTATTTTGACTTAATATATGTGTGTATCTGTCTCTGTATATCGATCTGTTTGAGAAAGGAATCATCTGTAGTGAACAGAACTGTCAAAAGAATGTTACTATGGAAATGAAAACTGAAATTATATCAGTTATATAAACAATATAAAAAAAATTTGTGCATTCTAAGAGTTGGACTTGGAAAGGATGTGCTGAGGTGATTAATTAAATTGTTTCCTTGAGGTTTTTCCACATCCAGGATGAGTGAAGCAACTCTTTGGGTACAACTGAAATTTATTTTACTCCGAGGCAGGGAAGACTTTCTGATAGCACTAGCTTATTCTAGTCTGGCATTCCTATTTAATTCCCTTCTATCTTCATCACTTTCCACGTCTTCAGTTCCTTCTTCATATTTCAGATCTCTTGCAGCGTTCCCTTGGTTTTAAAGGCTTCATGAAAAGTGCATCTGTTGTAGGATCTCTAGGTACAGTCCTGTAGTAGGACATTCTCACCTGTGGAAATAATTCAAAGTGTGGTGTTTGCAGGGCACTCTGTTGATTTGTACAGCAGAGGAGGTTGGCTGTGCCCTTCCTTGCTGCAGGATGATTCCAGGAGTGTGTTGGTGCAGTTAGGCAGTGAGGAAGTTTTACCTGCATGCATTGAACAGCCTTTCACATGCAAGTCTTTCTGTCAAGTTACAGGAGAACCTGGGTCCTCGAATAGGAAAGACTAATGTGCAAAAAAGTATAAACCTGCTTTGAACAATGTTAAGGCAGTGAGGCTTTAATTTTGCCCTTAGAATTTAAGCTGTAAAATGTTAATGGATTTGATTCAAAGTGCTGGAAAATATGTTCTTAACCTGGAGTGTGTTCCCTCAGAAATGTTGCTGGTACCGTGGCCAGACCTCACAATGTCACGTTGCTGGTAGCAGGATCCTGTGGTCCCTGGTCTGACTGATCCTTTTGTGCAGAATCCGCTCTGATGTAGGTTCCTATGGACTGTGATCAAGTTACCTTCTTGTGTTTACCCGAGAGTTATTACCTGCATTGTTCTCTAGTGAAGAACAGTGAAGGTTCACTTCTAGGTGAAGCTTGTTTCCTGCTTTTTCATTTTTAAAAAAAGTAGGGTTCCATTTTATACCTCTCCCCAGCTGTGTTTGTGGAGATGTGTGGAACTGACAGATGTAATTGCTGCCTTGTTTTGTGCTGTCACTGCCGTCAGCCATCCGTGTCGGTGGGAGATCCCCTTCCCTTTCCCGAGCAGTGCTGGGTGCCGCTTGTTTGTGCTGGTCTGAGACAGCCTCCTATGAGGTGATCTGATGGAGTGTACTCTCTGTAGTATGTGGAGTGATCCTGGAGCTTCAGTGTGATCTGCAGGCCCTGGTCACGCTCTCCTCCACAGCTCTGCAGAGTCCTCTGATCACCTCCTGTTTGGTGTGATCGTGGTTACAGGCTCTGTGAGCTGGGGCTGCTCCCTGAGCATGCTGGCAACGTGATCCCTGTGGACATCTCAAGGTGTGTTGGTGTGAAAGTACTGGGTCCTGTAGTATGAAGGTACTGATGAGGGCTGCTGAGTAGACTTGTCTGTGTAGTGTGGCAGGAAGAACATGGGTCATTCATGGAATAAAAGGTGATTGTTCAAGTCCTGCTGGATTGGCACTGAACATCTCAAGGTAGAACAGTTCCACTTGGTGATGCATAACTAACATTAGGTTGTGGTCCTTGTAACAAATTTTGTTGATGCCTTTACCCCTATGGACTTGACTGATTTGCTGCAAATCTTAGTTGAGAGCAAACTGGGCTTGTGATGTGGGTGACTGTGGCGGTGTCAACACCCCATTTTGCTCCTCAGTGCTGGTTTTATTCAGTGATGTAGATGCAGCCAATGAAGATGAGGTGCTGTTCTGAGAAAAGGAGAAGCTTTCAAGGCTTGGTAGCTTCCCTGTACCCTGCTGACTTGTGTCTTTGACAGGTTGTGTGGGAGACAAGAGCTGTATTTGATTTCCAGCTGAACTGCTAGGATTGTGGGGGCCTGTGGGATGTCACCCCTTAGGCTGCAGTTTACCCTGTTCCGAGACAAGCATAATGCTACTGACTTCAGTTTGTACAGTGCTTTCAGATCTGCTAAAAGGGGCTGTTTAAGGCATTGCAGCTTTGTGACAGAGGCCTGCAAATGGGTGTGAGAGCTCAGAGGGCCTGTGCAATTAGTGAATACAGCTAGGTGAGTAATTTGAAGTTCTTAGCAATGCTGTAATAGCCTGTGTTTGAGGTAAAGGGTAAGTTTTGAGGTTTCATGTTGTCAAAAACCATTAGGCTCTTTTTGTCTTGCTCTCTTTTGTGGGTTACTATCACTTGCATGTCACCCTGAAAGCATCGCTTGATGTCTGCTCTTCAGAAGACTTCAGATGCTGTTATTGATCTTTATCTCTGCTTGTCCCACCCTGTCTCACGGTGGTTTGCCGTTATTTGACCTTCTACTGTGCATGCCAAATTTATTACTGAGAAATGATGCATGACTGTGCAAAGAGACTCAGTTCTGAATTAGATACCCTTGAAATTTCAGTGACCTGGATTTGAGATCTGGAGGGGATACTTCTGTCTCCTCAGCTTCTTCATCCTAGTGTTTAAGAACATCAGTTGTTTGTCCAAACAAAGTGTTTGTAGAGGCTGTTTCAAGTGGGTCATATCACCATAGAAAATAAAAAGAGGTGGAAAGGAGAATGTGGAAGATCATCCCTGAGATTAGCTCAGTTGGTTATGGTGCTGATAACAGCAAGGTTGTGGGTTTGATCCCCCCATAGGCCATTGACTTAAGAGTTGGACTCAGTGATCCTTGTGGGTCCCTTCCAACTCAGAATATTCTGTGAACTGTGATCTGTAGATGAAAGCCTTCCCTTAGCCTTGCTTTCTTTTTTTTTTTAAATAGTTCTTGTGACAGAGCTCTTGGCAGGAGAACTGAAGAGGAGAACACCTTTTTGCAGCAGAGAGGGACAGGCACTGAGATCAAAGGGAATGAGCAGGGCTGAAATCCTCCACTCTGGAGGAGCAGGTTGCGCCCTTCCACAGTTGGCTGATCAAAGGGAGTGCTGCCAAGGGTGGGTGGGAAAACCCTTACCCATATCCCTTCTCCTTTCAGGGGAAAACCAGCAGACTCATAGGGGCAGGCTTAGCACAGTGTTTCCTTGTTTGCTCATATCTTTGGTTGATGACAGCAGCCCGTGAGAAGTTGATGTGCCAGCCTGCATTTTCCTTTCCAAAATCAGAATTGGAGTGTGCTGATAGAAATTCGTGGGAGCTTACACAGCGTAAGCAGCGAGGTTGCTCCTTGCCAGCTCATGATCAGTGAGGTGATCTGTGAGGGAGCACCGTGCACTGCTTGATGTTTGTTTGTTAAAGGGGAGCTGCTGCTGTGCACAGAAACTGCCCCAGTACTGGCAGCCTTCTGCTCCTGCCGTGTGCCAGGCAAAATTTTCTCCACACCCTCCTCAGTACTTGCTGTTGAAGGTGCTGGCTGTGCTGTTGGGGCTGTTGAAGTGGTCAGTGGTCGATTCAGGGCAGCGATGATGAGGTGGGTTTACTGAACCTTGGGGAAATCGGGGAGTTGATTTGAAGCCTGGGCTCCAGTTTTGAGGATGGCTTGTACAGGTTCTGCATGATGTGAGAATCCTTGAAGCCTGCAGGGTAGGGTAGTGCAGGGATTTGATTTTAATTCAGGGATCCTAAATACCCTGAGCGTATTGTATGGGGTTATTTTTTTTCCCCCTGTCTGAGAGTTTGTTTGAGCAGGTCAGACAGAAGTCTTAGTCAGTAACTGATGTAATTGTAATTATTAAACTTCAGGCTTATGATGAAGAATGCAAAGACCAATACCTGGCAGCATTTTTAGAATAGCGTTCTGGTGGTGCAGCTGAAATGAGTGTGTTCTTGATCATGAGGAGGTCAGGAACAATTCAGTATTCCTCACACCATAACTAAGAATCACAGTCTTTTTGGGAGACAAATTTGTCAGTCTGTGGATGTCCTATGAACTTTTTTCAGTTCAGCAAAACTTATGATAACTTTTTTTCCTTTTTTTACAGCAATGCTGAGTGACAATAACTCTTTGAAGCTGAAAAGTGATCGTTCACCTCCTGTGCAATGGTGTGAGGTGGCTGCACGTGAAGATGAGAAGACCAAGCTGGTTTTTAAAAGGTACTTGCAAGTAAGTGTCACTGTCACAGGAACATAGGGGTCAGTTGTTCTTCCTGTAGCCTGGACAGTTACAAAAAGGATGCAGAAATCAAGGCATGAGGTTGCCACAGGCACTGGATGGAGCTTTCCCTGGGGCACTGAAAACACTTTGAAGAGCCTAGGCTCACTCACTGCAGTACCTGTTTTTCTGAGCCAAAGTGAAATTCTAGTGTTTTGTTCTCGGGTATTTCCAGTTCTTTTTTTGTATTCAGAAAAGTTCCAGTGTCAAGGCTTTGAAGGTCAGCAGATGCTTTGTGGGCATTTTGGGGAGGTGTTTCCTTGTAGTTACTTTGTTTATGAAGACTTCTGAAATGCTGCATCAAAAATCTTACTCCATTGTTTATAACTCGACATCAAATTGTACTTAATGTGTGCCCATGTACATCCAGAACCATATTTAACATCACAAAATTTTATTCAATTTTAAAGTTTGTTGTTTGGTGTTGTTTTTTCCTGTATGTTTTGGGGGTGTCAATAACCAAGTTAGGCTTCTCAATATAAACCTGAGCACCTAAATTCTGCACTGTGGCCTGCCAGTGAGTTGAAAGTTTTGTTTCAGTGGTCGCCATTGGCTTAAAATCATGCAATTTGAAGTTCCATTCTTCTTTTCAGCTTGCATGAAAATATATAATCCAGGATAGAGTCGCCCTTTACAGACGAAAACAAAAGTCACTCGTGGTTTTTTTTTTGTGAGGAGAGCTGTTTGACTCATCAGAGCATTTCAAGTATATAATGCAGGCAACATGTTCCTTAACAAAACATCTACATATGTTCCTACTTTCCTGCAGATAGCTCTGAAGAGTTGTGAAAGATTTGGAGTGAACAAAGCAGTAGGGTTTTTTTTGTTTGGTTCAAATGCAAGTATTCACCTGTCTTAAATTTGCTTAAAGATATTGATTTAATAGTTGATTGAACACTGGGAAAAGAAAAGATTATTTTTTGTTCCTCTCTCCTATCTCTCACCTTCCTGTTTGTTTTTAGAGTTCTTGTACTCTTTGTGGTTGGAGGGTGCTTCCTTTATATCCTCAAATTACATTTTGGCCCTGAAGAATGTGACAGAACAAAAATGCCGTATGTGGACCTCGGTCGTGTAAGGGTTGGTATTTTTTGGCTTGTTTTTTTTCCACTTGGAATAAAAAAAAAGTTATTAATTGACAATGTATGAGTTACAGGGCTCTACAACAAAGGACTAGAATGCTGACATTATCCTGTGAGGGAAAATATACTATGCTTCATTTCATGCCACAGAACTTCTGGGTTTTGTTCTTGTGGAATGATAACATAAATGCAAAGAGAAAGTGGATTTTTAAGGGTAAAACGATGTAACTGTGAGTTTAACATTTGAAATGGACGTGTCATCCTGCTGTTAAGTCAGTGCAGACGACACTGGTGATCAGAAAATTGATGCAAATGAAAAGTAATGTATTAAAAAAACTCCACACAACAGCAACCCAAGCTCAACACATTAAACCAAATAGTTCTGGTTTTTTGTTTTACCTAAGACATCTACCTGATCTGCTTTGACTTGTAGTTGGTCAGATGTTTTTGGAATCACAGGGCAAATGTGCGGGAGGGTGCACTATTATTTAATTTACTCATTTAAGGTAGCAGCACGTACTTTATCTACAGTTTTGCATGTACCTTTTAAGCCAGTGTAACAGCCACCACTAAAGCCTTTGCTACTTAATCTGTTTTCACTTCATAACAGAACTTGCCTGGCTTAGAGCTGTTACATTTCTGGCTTTGAATATCTCAATGCTAAGACACAACTTACAGCAGAAGCTACTGCGTGTGAATCTTCCCCCACCTTGCATCATCTTCAGTGCATGTATTTTCCCTTCTGAGCCTCTTTGCCTCCCCTTTTCTTCTCATTTGACTTATTTATTTTTTCAGTAACATATTCTTGATTCTGAAGAGCAAACACCTTAAGCCAAGCAAACTTGAAGACTGCATGGGCTGTGCTTGTTGCTGTCTCATGATTCATTTTGTTTGTCTTAGGTGCAGGATGAAGAAAGACAATTGCTCTGGTCTGGTTAGGTAATAGCTAATTACAAACTGTTTGGGGCAATTGTCATGTGATTGGCATTAAGTTTTACTGAAATGTGTCAGCCTTAAAAATGAGGCTCTTCCAAAGATACACTGAGTCCTGCCAACAAAGTACAGCAACAAAAAGTTGCTCAGTTGTGCTTTGCCCTGTGTGGTGTTTATGCCTGAACTTGCAGAAAAGTTCTGGGTGGTAGAGACAGTTCTGTAGATTAAACTTGGTTGAAAATAAAAAAAATTAAAAAAAAAAAGGAAAAAAGAGCAGCACAACTTCCCCTCTTGTGCACCCAGATAAACACTTCCTGTTCCTTAACAGTTTGCTCATGCTTCTTTAAATTACAGTGGAGGAAAACCCAGCAGAGGTTATTGGGGAAGATAACATGAAAACAAGATTTTGTTTAATGGATAAAAGCAACACTTTTTTTGTTTCTCTTCTTCCTCGCATCAGATGCTGGCTTGCCATTACAGATTTTTTAAAATATGTTGAGTAGTGTTTTGTTTTTATTATGAAATGTGTCCATGTCTAGTTTCATCTGACAGTTTAATCTTCTTATGCAATACGAAACTGTAGGCTTTTATTTTGATGGCTGGTCTTTGAGAGAAGACCCAAATCACCCCCACCTTGCATTCATTCCTTTTAAAGTCCCATCTTAGTTGTTTGCAATAGCATTTTAGCAATACTTAGGAAAGAAGTGTTGCTTCATTCTGATTACTAAGCAAGTCCAGCCTGCTGTTTCACAGCACTTTTACCCAGTGGATGTGTCTCTGGTAGAATCCTACCACAGGCAGAACTCAGGTCATGCAGTTGAGCAGCGGAGTAGAATTCCACCTGCTGCTGAATTAAGACAGGTAGATGTATGTCTAGTCTTTTTTTTAATTGTTGCTGTAAGTAATAGCACAAATGCTCTCAAACAGCTCATTTTCACTTAGCAGTTCTACTAGCCTAATTTATCCTTTAGGAACCTCAGATCTAGGCTTAAGTGATTGTGTGCAGAGGCATTCCTTTGCAGCTTTCCCCCCTGCACTTTAAGTCTCTGCGTTTGAGTAAATGCTTTAAGCTGTGTTGTACTTCCACATTTAAACTTCTTTTAATGAACCCCTGTGTTTGCTAAGCTGCTGGTGGGTCACACACTGAGAGGGTTTGGACATTCCTGCAGCTGGCTGTCCTGGCTGAAGCCGTGTGTGTTTTGTTCTAGAGAGCACAGCAGTACGCCAGCGCCGCATTGCAGGAGCAGTGCCGACCTTCTCACGCCAAGAAAGAGATGAGCAGGTTATTTGCGGAGAAATACAGCGTGGACGTATCTCCCTTTGTAAGGAAAAATGTAAATGAAGATGAAGCTTTATTTAAATATGAGCCTCCATTTGGATTTCACAAGTTTGTTGATAAGCTTAAAAATCTTCTCGAACTCTTACCTGAGCATGATTTACCAGAAGATTTGAAGTCAAAGCACTGTAAGCGTTGTGTTGTTGTTGGCAGTGGTGGAATTCTTCATGGATCAGAGCTGGGTCACTTACTGAATCAGTTTGATATTGTTATAAGGTACATATTTTCCATTTAAGGATTCCAGCTACTTCAACATTACTGTATGAGTCAACTATTTTTTTTCATTTTAAGAGAAGCCAACATTTATGCAACTTGTAGGACTTTCTGAAAGTGCTTTTGATAAACTTACTTGTGACTTGATGGAATTTGAAGTCTTAGGAGCAAAATAAATTGTCATGTTCAGAAGATGGGAATTCAGTGTAATTATTTGTGGACTTCAGATACAAAAAACCGCCCATGGGCAGAAATGAGATAGAAACCAGCGAAATCAGAGACAAGTAGACAATTATGATTTTATCCATTCATATGTTTAGGCTTTCAGAGGACTCACCTCTGATTTTTTTTTTTTCCTCTTGTCTAGTTGGGATCCTTATTTGAATGGGTTTTTTATAACATCTATTTCAAACACATTAAAATTAATTGGTGTTTCAGTATATGGTTTGTTTATGCACTTTATAGCACACTTATCTTCCCTGATCTTTGCAAGGTCAGCACAAGCTTTCTGTGATTGCCCGTATTTTTAATATCTGGATTATCTGCTCTGTATTTGTGCCTCCTAAATGTTGCTCTTTGAACTCTCCTTCTTGTTTTTAATCATGTAAGGTCACAAATAAATTTGATACCAGCAGTTTCCAAACTTGTTTTGTAAACTACAGCTTGCTCTTCCTATAAAGGGAAGATTTCATTGAGTCGGTAGCTCTTATACAAAGGTAAACAAACCTGTTAGCATGAGCAGGGGCAGAGAACTTGTGTTAGCTGTGCTCTGAGATCAGGGCTGTCAGGGTGAAGGTGGTGATACAGAAAAGTTTGCAGGACTTACGCTGTTCTGCAGAACTGATGGAGTGTGATGATGCTGCTCTTGTCAGCAGGGTGCCAGCATTTAAATATTCGCTGAGCTGGAATGATACAAACCCATAGGATGCATTACATTGCATTGTAGGGATAATTTGAATGCTTTTCTGTGTGGAATACTCACGTGAGTTTGTGTGTACATGTGTGTATATATATATATCTGAAAAGGATAACACAGGCAACTTTCTGTGTGTTTTCTTCCCCTTCCTCTTTTAAGCCTCGTGAGTTGACACAAGTCAATAGACAGGAACTTCTGCAGTTCTGTTTTAAGTTACTTTTCTGTTCAATCTTTTCAAAGTTTTGCACTTGTGCCATTTAATGTAGAAAAAGACTTGGCTTCCTCCCAAAGATAAGGGCAGGATGAGTGTGCGAGACGAGGAACACGGAGGTTCTGACAAAACACTGTACTGTGTTTTGTTAAAAATCTGTGGGCTAAATAACAAGTTTTTGCTTAGTGTCTGATGTTTTAATGAGATTATAACCTGTGTTTATTAAATATAATTTATCACCACGGTGTTTTTTTCCCACTAGGTTAAATGATGCACCAGTTCAAGGATACACAGATCATGTTGGTAACAAAACAACTATCAGGATGACTTACCCAGAAGGAGCCCCCCTCTCTGAACAGGAGTATCCTCCTTCAAGCTTGTTTGTGGCTGTTTTGTTTAAAAGTGTTGATTTCAATTGGCTTCAAGCAATGGTGAAAAATGAAACCTTGGTATGTAATGTGTCAGTTTTGTGTACCTGTATTTTTGTTTGTTTTCTCTTCCAGTGCTTAAGGAGCTGATTCATATGTTAGTTCCTGTATTATTGTGCTGAGGGCCTTTTACATAACTTTGGGGGGTTTTTCTAGCTGTCTCCTAGTTACAGTTGGGCCAGGATTCACATTGCAGCCTCATGCTGACAGCAACACTTCTTTTTTTTCTGCAGATATTGGTGGTTGGCACGAAGCTATCGACAGACTATTTACTAAAGTGGAATTCATTTCACATTAGGTTCAAGTGACTTATTTAAGGCTGTAGAGCCCAAAATAAAAATGAGATTTCTGAATGCCAACCCATTTTTTTAACTAAAGCCTGTACTGCTACAACAGGTATACATGCAGTTAACACGTGATTGAACATCGACTCTAGTTCTAAAATGATGAGGTTGCTTATTTCTCGAACTGAATATTTAAAGAAGTGCAGAGATTCCTAAGGAACTGATAGAAAGGGTTTCATGTTTCCAGATTAACTTCGAATTGGTGGCTTCCACCTCTTTCAATTTGCAGGCAGATAATTTCTGCAAGTTGAAAACTGGTAGCTAGGTTTCTCTGACCACAGAATGAAAAACAAATGCTCTAAATTATTGAGAGAGATTTAGGAGGAAGCCTGCCAAGTTTTTTAACTGTTTGGTCTATGCTAGTTTGGGTACTCCAAATTCCCTTCTTAATTCTGTGATTTTTACAATATGGGATCATATGGAAGGTCTGTTTAATGTTGACCATGGCTGTCTACTACTACTCCTTTAGTCCAGGGACTGTGTGTGAGGATATTGCCTTGTTTTCAATAATCTGAGCATGTTTTGCAGAGAGGAGATTTTCCTGAATCCACGAATTTGTGCAAATTGAAGAACGACTTCTTCCTGATTTTTTTTTTTTTTTTAATGATTTAATTTTTTTTCTGGGGGCAAGGCACTCTTGGTCTGTGACCTTCCCTGCAGCAGTGTGGTAATTTTGATGACCAGCAGCTTTGTAACTTGAGTTGGATTCCTAACTATCTTGTTTTACAAGCTGTCTGGCTGTTTCATGTTTTAAGGTTTGGTCTTGAAGAATGACTAGTACAAGGCTGGCTTTCTGTATTAAAATTTTTTTGGGGGGATTGAAATAATGACTGCTTTGGGGCATCTGCAGCATCCTCGGTTAGTGAGTTACATGATGGAGCGTGTGCTTTTAGAAAAGAGTACCTGTACTTGTTTTGTGTGGCTTAGGAGCAGATCAGCTCATTCCCACATTCTTCCTTGCTTAGCTGTTTTTGCTGATGAGCCAGCAGTTGATCTGGGAATGGGCATATGGGACAGAGTCCACTGAAGATCCACAATGATGCTTAAGGGACTGGAGCATCTGTACTGTGACTTACAGAGCTGGGACTGCTTAGCCTAGAGAAGAGAAGGCTCATAACATCTTGTTAAAGTACATAAATACCTGAGGGGAAGGTGTGAGGAGGATGGAGCCAGGCCCTTTTCACTGCTGTCCAGTGATAGGACAAGAGGCAACGGGCACAAACTGGAACACTGGAAGGTTCCTCTGAACACCAGGAAACACTTTTAATTTTTAACTTTTTTTTAACCTTAATGAAGGTGACTGAGCACTGGCACTGGTTGTCCAGGGAGTTTGTGGAATATCTGTGGATATCTGTGGATGTCTTCCTCTAATGTCATCCAGATGCAGTCCTGAGCATCTGGCTTAGGGTGTCTGCTTGAGCCAGGGGGTTGGACCACTTGATTTCCAACTTCAGTGGCTCTGATTTTGTGAACAGCAAATATACTTCTTTCAAATATTCATCTTTCAATTGGCTCAGCTTTCTGTGCAGGCACTGGTACTGCAGTAAACTGGTTCAGATTACGGGTGGAAAGATGGGAACCATTACAACCTGTATTTGATCAGCTTAAGCTTCTGTTACTTAAAGCCTGTTTAAAAAAAATATAGGTCAGTGTTGCAGCTATATCAGTTTTGTCATTTGCCTAATGTTGCCCATTTTATGGAGCTGTAAAATGAGTGTGCTGTAGTATTCTGTCTTCCATTAGTGGGCATCTAATTGACTGCAGTGGCATGAGATCACAATCTGGCTTTCTGAGTCCTATGTAAATCCTCTTCTAGTTACATTTATCACTAGGTGGATGCTGTCAAACAGCAGCTCTTCACTTCAAAGGCTGAGCACAATTGTTTTAAATCCAGTGCTTTCTTCAGAATGCCTGGTTAATCTTTGTGGAAAACTGCAGTTCCCTTCCTCATTTCTTTAAATGCTGCTGGGCTGCTCAGTTATGCTGGGGAGGGCCTGAAAAACCTGGGGGTGCCAGTGGATATGTTGACTGATTAACTCAAAGTGCAGCCAAATATTCAGAATTAACAACTTTTCCTTCTCCTGTCCTCCCTGCAGTTCCAAATACTTTGAAGTTTTTCCTCCTTTGGGTCAGTCACTTGAGCTGTACACTGGTATTCCTGAACCACCTTAGTCATAAACTGTTTCCTGAATTTTTCAGAGTCACTGGTGAATTCTGTAACTTGTGTTTGTTCCTGAATCTGCCTCAGAGTTTCCCTTTGAACTGTATTTTTTTATTTCCTTTAGCCTCTGTGGGTGCGACTCTTCTTTTGGAGGGAGGTTGCTGAGAAAATTCCTTTTACATCAAAGCAGTTCCGGATTCTAAATCCTGTCATTATCAAAGAGACAGCTTTGGACATTTTACAGTTCCCTGAGCCTCGATCAAAGTTCTGGGGTTGGGATAAGGTAAGAGGTTTCCTTTCACCAGGAGGAGACATTAAAATGCAAGGTGAATAAAACAGTGCAGTTTCAGAGCTGGTCTCAACTAATAGGGAAATTATGTGCTCTCAAAAGACTCATGTATTTTCTCTTGCAAAATCAAAGTAAGATTTCAGCTCACCTTTTCAGATGAGGTATTATGCCTGTGCCTGCTGACATGAAATGACATTCAGATGCTGTGAGACATAAATTCACTCCAGTGGAGTGTGTTCACTCACACGTATTTGTGACTGGCGTGAGATGCTCAAAAGCACACGTCTGATACATGCTAAATGTGTTAGGAACAGCCCCGTTAAGCCGAACCAGCCATCAGCTGTGGACAGATGTGTCTGCAGCTGCAGGGAAAGCAGAGAGAGTCTGAAACCCAGGCCAGTTTAAAGCAACCTTGCAGCTGTTGGAAATGCAGTGTGTGCCAGAGTACTCAGTAGCGACTGATGGGCATATTCTCCCTCCGTGGGCTTTGCTCCCACAGTAGTACAGAGTGATGGATTGCCTGGCTTAACTATACACTGCACTTTGGTTATTTTAATTACATGTTGGAGGAGTTGGTTGTCACTAGTTCCCTTGAACTATGTGAGAAGACATTTAATGTTAACGTTACACGAATCTTTGAAGGTCTTCTTACATTTATTTATCAGAATAACATAACTTACCAAGCTGTGTGTCTTAGTTGTATCGTAGTATATTTGCCTTCTTCGCGGGTCGTTCAGTGGAAAGTATTCTGAAGAATACTGTTTGTTAAGAGAGCCTGTTGTTGCTCAAGACTGAAATAAGAAATGTCAAGTTTAACTGCATGTCAGGAGTTGTTTGAGTGTTTGGAGCGAGAGTTCACTTGCAGTTCAACTACACAGTAAGAGGGCACCTTGTCTTCACAGAAAAAAAATTTGGTGTTGGCAGCCAAAAGCCTCATTAAAGGCAAATACTCAGGTTGTATTGGTATTTTGCCGTGGAGTATTCAGCTTTACTTGATCATTGAATTGATTTTTAGTTTTAGTTTTAACTGATTAATTGATTTCAGTTTTAAATGAGCAGAGGGAATAGACAAAGACATTAAATTGTCTAAAGTGTTTTATAAAAACTGGCAAAGGACTGCATGTTCAAATTGAGCAAACTTCACTTCCTCTCCCCTTTTTCAGAACGTACCTACAATCGGGGTCACGGCGGTTGTTCTGGCCACACATCTGTGTGATGAAGTGAGCATAGCAGGGTTTGGATACGACCTGGACCAGCCCAGCACGCCCTTGCACTATTACAACAACCTCTGCATGGCTGCCATGAACGGACAAACCATGCACAACGTGACAAGCGAAACAAAACTCCTGCAAAAACTGATCAAAGAAAAAGTCGTCAAAGACCTCACTGGGGGGATACATTGTGAGTTCTGCAGCAAAGACAGCTAGTGACTGATGTGCAGCATGGACAGGATTCATTAAGTCTCCAGAGGTTCAGCTGGATCAACCCTTTTGCAATCTTTATTCCTTTAAAGTGTTTATAAAATGGACGTGGAATCCCTGCTGCCTTTTTTAATGTCACGTTCAGTTTGTTGGACTTGTAAATTAATTTCATCAGATTTTACTTTGCACATTTTTGTGAATAGCTATGTAAATATGACGTGGAGTTGAAAGAGATGTGTTTAAAGTATTTAAAATGTTTTAGGTTGTCTGAATAAAAGCAGATTTTTTGTTTTCAGATGTATATGGAATGCACATGACTGGCCTGAATTGTCTAACAGCATACAGGTGTTGTTTTCCACTGAACTCCTGTCTTTGTTGTTCCAGTTCTTGGTGTCTGACTCCTTTTCGTGCATACCATGAAAAGAAAGGTGTGTGCCTCTCAAGTCTTTCATTACTTGAAGTTGAGCATTGTGTTCCCCCCTCAAATATTTATATTCTTTTGGTTTTATGCTGTTACATTTTTTGGTGCAAAGGAGAAATGCAGGAGTGGAGTTGAAGGAAAAGGAATTGTTGTGGCAACAACTGAGTAGTGAGTACCTTGGCGTTCGTGATTGATGTTAAAATCATTGGTGTATTAATGTATTGGGTTAGAATCCTACCCCAATTAAAGAAGTGGCATTAATACAAAATCTGCCCCCCTTTTTTTTTTCTTTTTGAGTGACTTGAGGATTGCTGGTTCTATAAAACACCAGTTTGTAGGAATTATTTTGCAATAATAGAATCATCACCTTAATAGTTTGCAATGCTGATAACCCTTATGAACTCTAGTGCTGGCTGTTTGTTTGAAGGGGGAGGTAGAGTTGTTGGTCTTCTACGAACTTTTAAGTCAGCAGTTGGGTGATTGTGTATTAGTTAACAAGAAAATCACTTTGAGAAAGCAGTATAATCTAGTAACAAGCTAGATATCTGCTGAAAACAGCATATTTAAAAAGGAAAGAGAAGAAAGCTACAGATATATGTTCTTGTGAATGGAAATCAGTCTTCTGCAAAGACACTGGGCTGTGCAGATCTGTAAGCAAGTTTTGGTGTTCATTTTTATTTTGTAACTAGTAGAGTGTTAGATATGAGTGTTTGCACTGACTCGTGTTGTTGCTTAATCTACAGTATGTGAAAGAGGCTTTCTTTGGAAGTGAAAGCTGTTTAGCAAATGGATCAAAGGTTGGCCTAGAAACTTTGTTCATAGTCATGGACTCTTCACATGGTGAACGTTCCCAGTAGTTCTGAAGTTTTGGAATGCAAGATTAGGGAGGTTGTGTTTTGTTATTTTTGTTCCATGAAGAGAAGATCTAATGAACAATGATGTTAGAAGGCAGGAGCCACAACTGATTCTCACTGTTACTTGAAAAGGCAATAAAATGACATCAGATCATAAAGCATAACTCTGGAGAAAATTGTGGACCTCATCTTTCATAAATCCCAGGTACCTACGTGTCCTTGAAAACCAGCTGTGGGTGGTGAGCACATTTGAAAATCAGAATTTTTTGTTACTGGCGCTGTCTGTGTTCAGAGCAATCATATTAATCCAGCCTCCTCCTCCGTGAAAGACATTAATTTTTACACTAGCAATAAATTTCTAGTCTGTGTTTTCCCTGGAAGTATAATATATTGTTTAATTTAAAAGTATTTCTCGTGTGAAGAGTTTTATACAAATATCCTTTTAGTTAATATATTAAAATGCAAATCAAAATTAAAATTATTTTCTCCTGGTGTTTAAACTGGAAGCAAAATACCCTAATTTTATTTAGCATTAGTGAAAATCTGGAAGATTATCAGAACATGTGCATTGGGGGGATGTCCTGAACACACCTAAAGTATGTGTTCCTGAGCGCTTGGTCCCTCACCAGCTTGCTTTATTTGGCAACTTAAAAATAACCAGGTTGATTAATGTAAATGCCAGTAGCTTTCTGGAGATGCTGTATTTACTGTCAGTTTCTCAGGTAATGCTGATGTAGGATTAGATTGTTTTCCTGCGAGTGTTATGGCTTGTGATAAAACCTTGTTCTCCATGGTTGTGTGTGCTGCTTTGAATGTGCCTGCGTGGGCTCGACCCTCCGTGAAGGTGGCAGCAGAAAGAAATAAACTGATGAAACCACTTTCTATTTATGTATTTGTCGCTCAGTTTGCCATTTATTCTCTCTCCTTTATTAAGGACTTTACATGTCTCACTGGTGCTATTGAAAGTCTTGATGCAATGCCAGGCACTCATGGGGAGGTGGTAGCTGGTAACTCTAAGTTTCATTTTTAGTGCCTGTCAGTGGAATTATCTGTCTGGTGCCTGGAAGAGAGAATCCATCCCAACACTGATCATGTTGTAGGCTTCCAGGATTTTGATGTTAATGTGGATGAGAGTATTTCAGACTGGCTTGTAACAGTGGCCTTAAATTCAAGGGTGTGTCTCCCTCAGTGGTGGAAGCAGACTGCAGCTTCTGGTCTGTGCTTCAGCCTTGCTGGAGGTGAGGCAAGAACCAAAGCTCTGTGTGTCTCTGGTGCTGTGTCACAGCTCTTATGCTTTGCAAAGAGTCTGCATCATCCCTTGTAGATAAGCCTTAATGGTGTTTGGTTAAAAAGTCAGCAAGGAGATAGGGAGCTGTGATAAAGCCATTGTGTTCCACAGGGAATTCTTCTTTGTAACTCTCCACTAAGGAGCTATCACAGTCATGGATGTGCCTCACCTGTTCTGATGCTGAATTTTTTCATGGCTTTTGTGCAGGAAGTTGCACGAGGAGACATAAAGAGCTGCTTGACTGTGGAGTGGGGAAGTGCCAGAAAGGGTGGCTGCAGTCTGGGACCAATTGGCATCTGAACCGGGTGTTGAGCTTGTAGGGTCTGTTGAGATAAGGATCTGAAGAGCAGTTCAGCCTCTCCAGCGGGTGGATGTGTGCTGATAGCTCCAGCAGGAAATGGGAAGGCAGCAGAGGAGGCAGCTGTGTAGTGTGAGTGTGACCTCTTTGCCTGTGCCAGGGGCACATGAAAGGAGAGCTCATGCACCTCTGTTAAGGACAGATCAGATGCAGTGCTCTAACACCATTCCTCCTGCGTGCCAGCAGCAAGGTTTTATACAAATACTTTATCTTACCAGCACCTGGATCTTGTCCTCTGAAGTTTCTGTTGCCTGGAAAGGCTCTTTTCTTTCCTAATATCAAACATACTTGAGGTGTTGGTATTCCACATAGCTCTTTTATTATTTAATAAACAAATCTGGGATTATACATGCTGACAGACTAACCTTTGTCATCTAAAATGAAGGCTCTTTGTTTTTTTGAAAAGAACAACCTTGCTTGTGTTTTAAAAACAACCCAATGGCAAAATCCTGCCTGTTAGGGTTGAGATAAATCCCAGCTCCAGGAAAACTGAAGAATATGATGATATTTAAAAACGCTCTTGAAGAGTTAGGCAGTGTTGAAGAAACCACTGCCTGAAATGACATATGACCAGATTAAAATATGGATTAAAGGAAGAAGGTGTGTGAAGATGTACAGCTGAGCCCTGCTGCGAAATACAACCCTTTGGTTCTGCAGCCTCCTTGTCTTGCCACAAGGGCCTCTCTGGCCATTTTATTCTCCCTAGAACAACCCTGTGAGCAGGCACTGAAGCACCCACCCATGTGCCCACGGTTGGTGTGAATTACAAAGGGGTATCAAGTGTTAAATTTCCATCCAGCAAGTCTCCAGCAGAAGGGAGGCTGTGCTGCAAGACTTCCTGCATTTTATATGTGTATAATCCTCCCTGCTGTTCTCAGGGAAGGAGCTGCAGTGGCTCATAGCTCTGTGCTGGTGAGGGACCTGTACATTGCCAGGAGGGAATCCTGCTCAAGCTCAGCTTGTATTCCTTGCTCCTCTCTGTGTACAGCTTATTGCACCCGTGTGCTAAAAGCAACAAGACTCTTAATTAGAAAGAACACAATAAAATGCTGTCCTTGAAGCATGAGGAGGGATCTTTTGGTGGGGACCTGGTATGTGTTCCTCACAAGCTGAAATTCAAACTGTCACATGTGACTGACTCTCTCAAGGACATGACAGCATTGGTGGCCACTCTGATGGTCAAGGAAGGAGGTAAGTGCAAAATTAACTGTGGTGTGACTGCTCCTGTGGTTTATGTGGCTATGCAAAGCCAGGAATTGACAGGACTGTGTTTTCAGGTGAGGGAGTGGAGAGGTTGGGCCCATCAATTTTGTTACTCTCGTCAGCTGCCTACTTGTTCCACCTGATTTACCTTTTTCTTCTTGTCCAACCACTTATGCATCACCTCTTTGTGGTTTAACAAAAAAAACCACACCTGTGACTGAACCTTGATTGAAACTCTGGTGCCTGTTAACACTTGCATTTTCCAGCCTGTGAACTGGAATTACAGCTGCTCACACTTGAGAGGTTTGAGCAGGGCTAAATGTAGGTAGTTTACCTCCTTTTTGGGGTCATCTGCCTGGTCACTTGTTTTCACAGCCTCCCTCTCTTGTGCTCGGGCCAAAAGCAACTTCTTCCCAAGCTCCTACATGTGCCAAAGAGGAGGACAAAGCTTCCTTGTTCAGTGCAGCCGCTCCTGCTCCCTCCTCGTGGGCAATGAGGAGCCCTGGCCTTTGGAAGGCGGCGCTTCCAGTGGCACGGAATGGCTTCAGCAGTGGTCGGGCCAAAGCTGCTTGTTGGAAGGGGCTGCCAAGGTTCAATTGGAACGTGGTGGGAAAGTCACAGAAAGACCAATCTTTTTTTTTTCTCCCCCATCTCTCTGACAAAGGAAAATTAGAAATTCAAGCAGCTGCTGCGGGGCTGAGCATCCCACGCTTCCCTCTCAGTGATCTTTTGCTTTCCTACTGTGTAGGTAAAATAATTATTCTGTTGCTTAAGGAATTCTTGAGCCCCAGCCTGGCCCAGTAAGCCAGTCCAGAGGGAAGCAGAAACAAGGTTACTTGTAAATTTGTCACTTGCTCTAACCTTTTTCTACCTGATCTCAGCTTAAAAAAAAAAAAAAGCCCATTTTGCACAATCTGGAGTTACTTCCCCACCACCTCAGGCTGAGTTATAGATGTGAGGACCTGGTGGAGCTGATAGAGAAGCTACAAAGAACTCTTAACACTTTTAACTCTGTAAGAGCTGAATTGTTACTCATTGTTTTTTCCCTTGCATCCCTTTTGGTTCAGCTTCCTTTATTTTTGACCATCCATATGATTTTGGGGTTTTATTGCTGTTTTACTCTGTTCTCTCCCACTTAGAGTACTCCTGTGTGCTGCTCAGTGCTGCAGTGTCTCCCTGGTCTCTTCTCAAGGCTGATCAGCTGTAGAATTTCAGGTGAAAATGGTTTTTGCCCACGTGGAATTGGCTGCAGAATTAAAGTGGCTGAAGCAGAGAAAGCCAAGAGCAGGACTTGGGGAAACAAGGGATATGGCGGGGAGGAGGTTTGGGGTAAGGAGGTCTGGAGAGGCATGGAATCAGGACCTTAGTGGTGGGCTGGAGAAGGCAAGAATATCCACATTTCATTGGAGCACATGAGTGCAGCCTTTGGAATGTCTGCAGCAGGAGCACAGCTGCCAGGATCGACCCTCTGTGTCACTGTGTGCCTGGGCCTTTCATGCTGCTGTAACATGAATGACCACAGGATTTCTCAACAAAAAATTTTGGCCAGCTTCTCCTTTCTGCTGAGGAGAGCAGATGCTCATGAAAAGTACCTGATGTGGCTTTTCAGGGCTTGGTGTTGCTGTACATGCAGGAGAAGATCAGGATGTGGGTCCTGGGCAGGTTTATGACCCTGTGTGCTGCTCTGCCCATGAAAGAAGTGTGCAGGTTCCCTTAGCTGTTCATATCAAGCCTTTTTTTTTTTTTTAATGCAAAATCTTCAAAAGGAAAGAAGGGTTGGTTCCTTCTAGCAGTTGAGTATCAAGATTATCATGAGCATTTTCCATTTTATGGCTCAGGAGAGAGGTCTGGGGTTATTTTTAAGCAAGTCCTCTCCTATTAATAGAGGCAGTTTATTGGGTCAGATCATGGCTTAGCTCAAAACCCCAAGGGGTTTTCCTCTGTGTGGTCATGAGAGTCTGTACAAATGTGAGTTTCTAGCTCTGCAGCTTGGGGGGGACACTTGGGGGTGGCTTGGGCTGGAGCCTCCTGCTGCAAAGGGACATCCTCATCCCTTGCTTAAACCAGCTTAGGCTGCATTAGGAATTTCAATAATTTTAAATACCCGGGTCCCAAAAGTCCCAGTGCCCGACGGCCGACCTGGAGGCTCACAGAGAAGAGATGCTGACATTTACGCCGTGCTATAGAAGCAAATTCGGCGAAGTGGTCCATGAAAGTAGTGCCAAGGAGGGCTCGCAGTGGGTAGTAAATGCAGCTCGTGCTCTGCTCCCAGCCGAAGCTCTGGGACGCATTTCCCATCCGCAGCGGGAGCGGGAATGAGGAGCGGGGATGAGGAGCGGGCGCGCAGCCCCATCTAGTGCCGTGCCGTGAGTGGTGCTGCCGAACAGGAAAAAATCCTTAACCACAAACTCAGCACGTGTTGGCTGGGTGCTGGAAGGGAAGCCTGACCTGAACGACATGGGAATGACCCGTTTTCCTAGGTCAACACACAAGCAGTGCTCAAGATAAGGACTTTTCTCCCATGGCTTGTACAGTTTCGTGGAGGGGAGCACTCTCTAGCTCTAGAGGGAGTGTTGCTACCTGTGTTGTTGGTTGCTCCATTTCCCCGGGAGCTGGACTAATGCATGAGGGTCTACCCAGCCTGACTCAATCCTCTATGCCACCAGAGAGACGTGGAGGGCAACAAAAATCCCGAGACCTCCAAAAACATGTCTGGCAAGGACACTTGAGCAGAGACCAACTTGTCCAGAGAAGACAATGCAGAGGGTCAAAAATAGAGGGAGAGTAATTCCCTTCTTACCTCTGCATCATCCTGGGGAAAGGACAAGATGTAATGGACACAAATAGCATCCTGGGAGGTTTAGGTTCAGTAAGGAATCTCCTGATTTTTCTAACATGAGATTAGAGGAGCACTGGTGTAATTGTGCTGGGAGGTCTTCCAGCACTGGAAAGTTTGAAGACTGTATTGGATAAGCTCCAGCCGGGACTGTTTCAGCTGCAGCTGATCCCACCGTGAGCAGGGGATGGATTTAGCTGCCC